CAAAGTAAGTTAATTGCACATAATTAATTTACCTTTATACAAAAGTGCTTCGTTTGTCATCAATAAAAAATAAAGGGCATCAATAAAAAATAAACCCGAACGTTAATTAATTTAAAACGTATGAATTATTTTAACGTATTAATTATTAATTTATTAATTTTTTTATGAAGCTTGTTGTCAAATATAATTTGTGATACTAACGTAAAGTTTCATATTTTCGCAAACTAGATTATTACAGTAGATTTTTTGTGACAGCGTTTCGAAATTGACAGTTCTTGATATTTGTTTGAGATTCGAAATGACATTCCTTTAGGCACTAATATCTAAAAGTGACGTTTGTTTAAAAGTAAAAATGAAGCAATAAAACTATTTATTTATTATAAATCTTAAAGGTACAATAAGCTCGGGGGGGGGGGTTAGGTCTTTTGTTTTTTTTAATGAAAAATAATTTTAAAAAGCACATTTTTTGAATAAAACGTTTTACATGAATTTCTCTATCAATAAATTTCATATACAGTAAAGACTCGATAATCCGGATCAATTAAAGCACAGGTTAATCCGGACTAATAAAAAATCCGGAATTTGCATTTTTATACACATATATTTTAAAAAAACGAATAAAATAAAACATTTTTATTAGCAAAACCTTAAACAAATATAACTTAAGTAAGAATAAGTACCTATATTCTATAACAAAACTCGTTGTGAATAGGAACATACATCATATATACCAAAATATAAAATACATACTACATTACTTAAAATAATCAGAGATTTTACTTTGTTTTTTAAGTGCATTAACTGAAGAATGCTTAACTATAGCTTCCTCTTGTATATTTTTTAAGACAAGAATATCGTTAATACCAAGATCATTCTCTTCAGCCCACTGCAATCCCAGTGTAAAATATTTTATTGCATCAACATGCTTGATTTTTTTTGACTGGATATAGATTTCTTCATCGCTGGTCTCGTCGGCGTCGTCTATAACTTCATGTTCGAGATCACAAAAAGTTTCTTTAATAAATCACAAAATCAGTCAATAAATCTAAAAAATTGATATGATAATCAAAAGGCTCTTTTCAAAATACGTATGTAGTTAATCTTACCTCCTTATTTTATTCTCACTTTTCTTAATGTCGGAAATAGTAGAAGTCGCTATACTTTTGGGCAAGTAATTCACCGCTAACACCATTTTCTAGTTCATCTAATAAATTTCACCTTTTTGTTTTATCGTCAAAGTGATATGTTTACGTTTCCCATTCTGAACTAGGTACCTACGTTAAAACACGTCCGGCCGTCAAATGACTACGATATAAATCGAATTACCGCTTGGAGAAAACGCGTTAAAACAAGTTAGAACCACAAATTCGGATTACCGAATCATACGAAATCCGGATTACAAATTATAAGGTACATAATGCAAGTGCGCTGCCGATCCGGACTAGCAAGGGATCCGAAGTAGCGCTCTTTGGATTATCGAGTCTTTACTGTACTTGGTTATCAAACCCGTAATCCCGTAGATTACTTAAATATCTACAAATTTTCTAAAAAAAATAAAAATTAACACATTTTTGAACACAACAAAATAATATCAACTAAACCAAAGTAGAAAATGTCATTTTTACTGCATCACAAGCAAATAAAAATTAATACGTAGCCAAGAGTCATAATTCAGGATATAACTGGGTAACTGGGGGGCGCCCAGCAGTACCTGGGGGGGCCCGGCGCCCTCGGGCACCACTGTAGTTACGCCAATGGATAATAATATACCATTAATAAATAATGAATTAATTAATAATAATTATATAATAGTGGAGATATTTTTACATTCCTCTACAAATTAAAAAAATATTAGAATTAAATCCCTGTGTTGCCCTCTTATTTCTAGTATCACAACTATAGAGGCAAAATACATTTCAAATTATGTCATATTCCTTCTTTTTTAAAGTCTAGCGCCATCTACAAAATTTAAGCGTAAACTTTGAAAATTACAGAAAAGCTTTCTTTGTAAGCTTTAACCATTCCCCAACAGATAACACTACTATCTGTCAGATTTGCCACTTACCCGCGGTTCTCAAGCACGCTCGCAATTTCTGGTCCTTCGAGCCGACCAGCTGTGCATCGCACGCCGTTGCCGCCTCGTCGATTTCCTCCCTATTCCAAACAAATAAAGATATTTAGCATCTGACATTTTTTCAGTTATACAGCGAAATATCTTTTAATCAGTTTTTAAACAAAGTATATATTGATGGCGTTTACGACATATTTTTTAAAGAAAAAACTAGTTAAACAACATAATTTCTTGATAATATGGCAATATAGGTAGTAGATTAAATTTAGATTAAAAATCCAGAAAAGATTAAGTGAATTCATTCTCAAAATTTTAGCAAAATGTTATTTTTTGGAAATTTTCAAAGTAAAATAACTCGGTTATTTTGAATTAATTTGAAAAACGGTAAAGAGAAAATATGTTTCTTTTACCGGGATCTACAAGCCTCACCTTGTATAAGCAAAGTATCGATATAGGTGGACCAATAAAAGAATGTCACACAATCATGATGCAAGAGAAACAAAAGTTGCCTTTTTAGTTGGCTTAATTGAAATAAATATAAAAATTGCAAAAAAGTCAGTAGCGTATATTTTTTTCTCAATTATTTTCGATAAGGTGTCCTCTGGGACGCCACTGGTACTAATAATTCTAATTTAATTAGGTCTAAATTCGGCTACAGGGTATTTAAGATAATTACAAAAATCTATCTGTTGTCTGTGATGTATTTTAAAGTTTAATATATTTTATTCTAGTGAGCCGATTTTGATTATTATTTAGCAATTTGTAGCTAGATTATTTGACTTTTTAGTGTCTCTTTCTAAATTAAAAATGAAAGTTTTCATCTGTCAATTATACGGAGGAAAACAAAAAGTTGATTTTTTTTCCTTGTATAATCGGCAGATGACAATTTTCATTTTTAATTTAGAAAAATATATTAAAAAGTCAAATAATTTAGCTACAAATTACTTAAAAATTCATCAAAATCGGTCCACTAGAACACAATATACAGGGTGTCCCAGAAATAAGTGCAAGTATTTTAACTGGTAGGATAGTTCAATCCCAGAAACACGCCTATGAGGTTTTTTTCACGAAATTTTAGTTAAAAAACATAATTTCTTGATAATATGACAACATAGGTATTAGATTAAATTTACAAGAAAATCTAGAAAAGATCCAGTGTTTCTCAAAATTTTAGCAAAAAATGTTTTTTTTGGTAATTTTCAAACAGTTTGTAATCATCTACTGATGATACTAACATGGTTAGCGAAACGCGCGTCCAGTGTAAAAGTAAAAGTGTTTTTTGGTGTATTGTGGTGATTTAGTGTTTTTATTTTGCTGTGTAACACCAAAGGTTCCAACCCTCAACTGTAATTTTTAAAGTAAAATAACGCCGTTATTTTGAACTTATTTGAAAAACGATAAAGAGAAAATATGTTTCTTTTATCGAGATCTACCACCCCTTAAAATACTTGCACTTATTTCTGGGACATCCTGTATAAAACTTTAAAATACATGACTATTTTAAGGTGACCCTTTTTTGTACTGGTGAGTGTGGAATTTTACTCAAAAAAAAGTTATAAAATTTAACTCTCAAAGTTGGTAGATTATTTATGGCTGAGAATGGGCTCCGTCCAGATTAGCCCTACTGAAAAGAGATGTTAATTTAATATAGTTTACTTTACTTTTTGTCTCTGATAAATTTTAATAGAAAAGTAGTAATAAAACTTGTAAACATAAAACTAAAAAAATATATATCCCCCTACAACAGGAAGATTCCCATGTATGATGAGGTTATAGACTGTATGATAAGTTATAACTCAAGAAAGGGAGGGCACAATAGATCTTTCATGTGGCGGTGATTAACCCCCTTCCATTCATTCTACATTCTATTGCTGTGGTAAGTGTCCATTGGTTCGGAGTATTTAGTTTTTGACCCAGATATTCATATACCTGTTCCAGATCGGGGGAGTTACCCATACAGCCATGGTACGTACTATGTACGTACCTGGTACGTAATGTTGGGACGAACGTCAGGTCCCTGGTATGTACAAGTACTTACCCACCAAGCGAGAAACCTCACATTACATTTGCAACATTGCAGACAATCCCCAAACAGCTTGCTTTGTAATGTTGATTTGTAAACGTTTTGCCGTGATTGATGAAACTTTGCTACAGAAATGTTGTTTTTGAAAGGCGATAAAAACGTTTTTTCTGCAACATTGCAACAAAGATTCAAATGAAAGATCCGCGCAAGTTCATGTTCAAACCGTATGATCGAAAAAATACGGCGTCCAGCTGTAATTACCCATATAATTTTACATATAAAATGACAGCGATCTTCAATTCATAGCCATCGCTGACGCCGTTTTTTTTATCATAAAGTCATAAATAAAGTTAGGTTAGGTTAACGTTAAACTTGTTTTTGACGTGTTTTGTATTACGTTCTATGCTTTTTGAATGAGATTTTGATGAATATAAATGTAAGTAAACAAACCAAGAGTAATGATATATAAAGCAACCCCAGAGTTAGTAAGTAAACAAAGCAAAACCAAAGCAAGAGAAATGATATATAAAACAACCCCAGAGTTTCCAACTGGCACAGGAGTACGATAAGGAGACGTGATATCCCCAAAGCTATTTACACATCAACACTAGAAGAAATCTTCTGTCAACTAGACTGGATCAACAAAGGATTAAAGATAGATGGAGATCTAATCTTCAATGGAATGGATGAGGATCTTAATCTTCAATGGAACAAAATATGCTGGGAATAACCTTGGAATAACCAAGAAAGACCATAAAAGAAAAGAGTGAATACGACAAAAGACCCAGGTAATAGATGTCATCCACAGAATCATATCCCTCAAATGGCAATGAGCAGGATACCTGGCAATAAGGACGAACAACACATTATGGACCACAAAAATTACCGCATGGTACCCACAAGGAATTAAGAGACCTAGAAGTAGACTGAACCTAAGATGGGACCATAATATTAGGAAATTAGCAAGGATAAATTGGGTCTACATAGCCAACAATAGACAAAGAATGATGATGAGACGATAAGTGTAAGTATAATTTCATTATTATGTGCGTATTAATAACCCTTAGCTATGAATAAGTATAACAAATTATGTTGTTTGCTTTTAAAGGAAATTTTATATTTTAGTTTAGCTTTTAACCAACTGAAAACTGAAGTAGATAAAACATGGATAAAACCAGGGCAAACCTATATATTCTTAATATAATGATAAAATCACGAACAATATTCATTATTGTCAATGTTGGATTGGTTAATCATTTGAGATTTTTAAAATAAGGACTTAAAATAAGGAACATCACAAGAGGTAAGTTTTCTCATGCTATATATATATATATATATATATATATATATATATACAACTGATTGTATTTATTACAACTGATTGTTTTTTATTTTTACTACTTTAGAAACAATTGGATATAGATTGGAAAAAATCCTTACCGAAGAGGAATTTGAAACCATGAATAAGACAATTCAACATGCGAAGACAAAATATGAAAGATCCAAAAAATCAATTAAAATATAAGTTTGCTTTTCCTTGTACATATATTTAATGTTATACTTTCCTTTTGTATTTTTGAATAAGAAATATATAATAATGTTTATACTGTACCTATATATATTTTGTATTATTTCAGACCTTCAACTTTTAAGATTTTTTTTAGAAATTCGATTCAAGAGGTCAGAGTTGAGTAATTCCTTATTTAATGAGCAGCCGAAAAGATCAGTAAGTTCTCAGTACTCAGTACTTAACAGTATTTTTGAAACAAGTAAGTGATCAATTTCTAGTTTCTATTTGTTTTCTTTTTTAAATTAGTTCGACAAATTCGACTTTCTTGGTAGGGATATATTTACCGAGCATTTTTAATTTTTCTAAGTCAGTGGATATAGAGATATGCATATTTTTATCAATATTGTTTATGTTTTTTGTCAATACAATATTAGTAAAAGTAGGTATATTATACCTATCTGAAAGTCTACAATTTAATACCCATTAATGTTTCTGTTTATTATAACCTATTACTGATGTATTATTGTTAACATAAAATTGCTAATGTTGCTAATGAAATGATTTTTTATTGCAAACATTATCTATTTTTTGCTATATTATTTTAGCAATAAGTCAGTTAATAAGTTACAACAAAATAGAAAGTTTAATCGATAATAAGATGTAAAATTAACAATATTACTAATACATCTCAAATTAGTACTTTCCTGAACGTTACATTAGCAACGTTTCAATAATATTGTGTTTTTCAACCTTGCACTGCAATGTAATTTGGCGGAAGATTAAGCTACCCTGCCACCTTGCCTAAACCTCCCTACAATGAAAAAAGCAATGTTACACATTGCTTTGCGAAGTTTTGGCAATGTTCCAGCAATAAATTTTGCTTGTTGGGTACAGGTACGTACTATGTATGTACTGGGGACGTACATTTTCCAACGCTATGTACGTCCCCGGTACGTCCCTGGGATGTGGTAAAGTACGTACTATGTACGTCGCATGGACGTACATTCCAGGTACGTACATTTTATGTTTTGTTCCGGACCAAAACTGAGGATCCTCCAAAACTGAATGTAAAATGATCGAAAGTACGTACAATGTACGTACTATGGATATACAATGTACGTATTATGGATGTACATTTTTCAACGACGTATACGACCTAGGAATTTAATTAGAAATAATTCAATGGAAGTCAGCTTAAAATATTTATTAATATAAAAACTCAGGTACAGGGTCATCCCTTATGTCTTGATACACCCGTGAGTCTGGCTTCGGTTCGGCAAACCACACCTCCTAGCGCACTCTGTCTTTTATTGGATGTTGATAGATATTTAATTTTTTTATTCTCAAACTGCTTCTAACTAAAAATACAAAAAGAAAACTAAGTATCCAAATATCTAATTCTTGCCTCTGTTTTGAAAAAATTGAATGAGCCGATTCTCAATCATTCGAGGTTGTGACTGTGCTAGGTGAAATAGTCACATTATATTATTACACTTTAATTTACCTTGAAACAACGAGCAACAAAGGCAACGACAAAAGAAAACAAGGCGGAAGCCAAATAACCTACAGCCACCATAACACACACAAAACACATACACAATCGAAAACTGGATCGGAGTAGGTGCGCACTCAGTGTATTGTTGTTTTTATTTTTTACATTGATTAATAAAAGATGGAACTACACTGAGTGCGCACCTGCGCTCTAGCTCTGCCAATCGAAAACGCCATTAGAAATTTTCCTGTTAGGCTTGATTGCATAATATATTGCATTTTTAACCCATCAGATTTCTTCAAAGGCTGTCATTATGCATTATGGTCACTGTATAATTTAGGAAATCATTTTTTTATAGCGGTCGGGTTAGATTTATTAATAAAAGAAGTAGAGGTAGGTTAGAGTGACTTGAATTAACGTTAGCCTAGAAAAAATCCACTGATCCAGTCCATTCATTATTATTGGGAATATCTGACCAAAATAATCCAGTCATGATATTAAAATTAAATAACATTTTGTAATGCGTTTTCAAAAATTTTCAAGATACGTACGTCGTACGTACTCGCATGTACGTCCGTAGTGAAGTCCTTACAATGTACGTAAATAGTACGTACATGGGGCACGTACTATGTACGTATACTTTAGAGCAGTACATTTTTCGTTTAGTGCTTGTGTATTTTCATTTTAAAACATTTTTGAAAACACAATCCCTCAATAAATTATTATTTAAGATATTAAAATAAACATTTTTGGGCGTGGCACCCAAACATTTTCACCTCCGGCGGTCATTCAGTGCGTCCCGCTTTTTCTTCTTCTAAATATGGCAACCCTGGTCTCAACCCAGCTAAAACTACCAATTTTGAGCTATAGTTACTTTTATTTTGGTTGCTGACTTCCCAGTTGGCAACACATTCAATTGCTAACTTTTGAGAGTTACGAGTTGCTAACTTCCCTCACCTCCCTGTTCCTGCTTTAGTTTGAGAAGCACTTTCGATGCCGTCGATACTTTTTCTCGATCCTACATTCTACTGAAATAAACAAACAAAACGTGGCAACCGCGCCCGCGAACAGAGCTAAAGGAGGGGCCAAAAGCATTAGGCCCGTTCCCCGTTTCAGTCCGCAGCGGCGCCCGTTGTCAATTAGATGCCGGGATCGAAAAATTCGCGAAGAACCCGTCTCTTTCGCGTCCCTATCGAAACGGTACCAGTAGCGGGACGTTTCATTGTTTCTACCCTTCCTCAGGCCCGGTTCCAAGGTAAGGCATTGCAAAACAGGCACTTTTTCATTCATTAAACGGCTGAAAAGGTCGATGGAAAGCGGGCGACGTTGTCTAGAAACACCTGGAGTTGATGCGGGACGACTATTATTGGTCGCCGGAGAATGAGTCTGAGTACGGGCAGTATATTATACCGTCTGGACCTTTTTTCAGGGGTTTAATAAAAGGTCTGATGATAGCGGTGTGTGTGCATATCGATCAACAGTGTTTTGAATGCGTTCGGGTATATTAAAGCATGATTTGCCGGTGTTTTGTGCAGGTATATTGGTTGATCACTATGAAATAAATATTTTGCTCTCAAAGTCCTGCATTTTCAGTTAAATTTTATGTTTATTTGTCGAAATGCTACCTAGAGTCTTGCCGGGTATGTCTCAAAAGTGGCCCTATAACTTTTTTATTTTTTTCAGTTCAAATATATTTTTCAGTGACATAAATTAGGATTGATTGACGTATTCAATTGTTTTTGGTCACTTCCTGTTTCACCGGAAATGGCTACAACTTCTGGGTTTTAAATAGCACCCTCGGTATTTTTTTACTTTATTGGGTTAAGTAATGCCCTTTAATGCTAACTAAATTAGCCTTATTAACGCTGCCATCATCAAACTTGTTTTTTAGGGTTCCGTACCCAAAGGGTAAAAACGGGAACCCTATTACTAAGACTTCGCTGTCCGTCCGTCCGTCTGTCTCAAAGGTCTATCTTATGAACCGTTATAGCTAGACAGTTGAATTTTTTACAGATAATGTATCTATGTTGCCGCTACAAGAACAGATACTAAAAACCGAATTAAATAAATGTTTATAAATAAAAAAGTACTTTCACTAAACATTATCTTTTAAGTAAGAATTTTACATAGAATCTTTCAAGTCCTCGGTGGCTGCGTGGTTAAAGCGTTAGGGACTTTACGCTGCTATGACGTTGGAGCCGTAGTAAGGCAGGTTCGAATCCTAGTCAAGGCGACTTTTTTAATCGTTTTTTTTTATTTTTACGTATTTTTATATACTTATTTTTACTTTTTATATATTTATTATTGATTAATCCAATTTTTAGTAATGTGTTGTTTCATTTTTTTTAAATTACTTAAACGCGCGTTCAAAATTTCAGTTAAATCGGAAAAAATGTTTATAATAATATAGTGTCTAATGTTGTATAGATAATGAATGGTACGGAACCCTTCGTGCGCGAGTCCGACTCGCACTTGACCATTTTTATCTAACCTTTATTATCTCGTATCACTTCTAGTTTCCGAGATCGCCGAGATCCTAATGATAAAGCTCCAATTTGCGACACCCTGTACATCTTGAAATAAATATCTTTGTAATCTTTCTACTGACAGATCAAATCGAATAGTTTTAGTACCTGGCTTTGTAGGAAAAAATATCCCGAATTTTTTCGGACTTATTCATTTATATCATCTAAATACCTAAATACTAAAACCCAATAAAATGAATTAACAATTTTTAAAATATCCCATGTCATTTTTTATTTTATAAACAAACTAGCATGTACCAGCGACTTCGTTCGCGTCGAATTAATCATTTGTAATGGTGGTGATAAAACAAAGCAAGAATTTCCATTAACATACAAACTGGATAACATTTTCTCACATTTATGTCAGCATGAGAAAAAACAATATGCCGATATTATTATATAACTTGGTAATATTTGAGGGGTAGTTTCATCTCGTTGGAATTTGACTTTCGAAAAATCCGTTTGCCAAAAATAAGCATTTTACGTCAAGCAGTTTAAGCAGAATCGTGGTTAAGAAATTACCCAACTTTTTGGAACACCCTGTATGATTTTTTAAAAAATGTCAAAATATGTAAAAAAAACAAATAAATTATGCTTGTCCAAGCGTTTTCGCGAAGGACTAACCGTTTTTTAAATAACAAATATTGTAATATTTGAGGGGCGTTTTCACCCTCTTGGAATTTGAGATTCCAGAAACCTCTCCTTATCGAACCTCTACACACCACAGTCAATCCGTTTGCCAAAAATCAGCTTTAAACGTCAACCAATTTAAGCAGAATCGTGATTATTCAATGGTCATATTTTATGAAACACCCCGTATAAATTTATAAAAAATCTTAAAATATGTAAAACAACAAAATAAAATATACGTGTTTAAGAGTTTTTCTGAAAAACTTACCGGTTTTTAAATAAAAAATATTTTAATATTTGAGGGATAGTTTCCCCCTTAGAATTCGAGTTTCGAAAAATCCCTTCTTATCGAATCTCTACACCCCAAAGTCAATCTGTTTTCCAAAAATCAGCTTTTTAGGCCAAGCGCTTTAAGCAGGATGGTTATTAATCAATGACTAGATTTTTCGAAACACCCTGTATACATTTTTAAAAAATCTTAAAATATGTAAAAAATTAAAATATAATATATATGTGCAAGCGTTTTTTTTCGGAAATTTGATCGTTTTTTAAATAAAATATTTGAGGGGTGGTTTCACCCCCTTGGAACTGGAATTTCGAAAAATCCCTTCTTATCGAACCTCTACACCCTAGAATCAACCTGTATGCCAAAATTGAGCTTCTTTACGGTGAGTGGTTTGAGCAGGATCGTGATTAATCAGTATGTCAGTCACTTAAGGATTTTATACAGGGTGTTTCAAAACAAATGCGAAAAACTTTAGGGGGTGATTTTTTGTTCAAAATAAAGGGTAGTTTGCTTTATAAACGTTGGGTCAAAAGTCAACCATTAGGGAGATATCGCGGTACAAAGATGGCGGAAAAATAATGTTTTTATTTTTTATCTTGAAAACGAAAAGAGATAGACTAATGAAATTTTATGGAAGCATTACTGTTATGAAAACACACTTTCAGGTAATTTTTAAAATGAGGGAGGGGGTTGAAATAAACTACCTGACGCAGCACCTTATCAAACACATGGTCGTTTTAATTCTGGATAGTTTAGTTTGTTTAGAAACTTTTACCTCTTAAAACCACGATTGAAATTAAAAAATAAAAAAGCATTACATGTCAAATAAAAAACATTTTAATTAAGAATCTAGTGATAATAACGATAATAATAATCATCTAGATAATAACGTATTGCAGTAGAGTAATGTCAAATAAAATAATATTAGGAACATCCTAAGAAGTAACAGCGGCCGACTAGATTTTTTCCTAAAAAAATTACAGCAGCCCACTAGATTCTTTATCAGAAAATGTTTTTTGTCCTGACATGTAATGCTTTACATTTTATTTTTTAATTTCAAATCGGTTTGATTTGGTTTGGTTTTATCAAAAAGTTTTATCAAAAAAATACAAGAGATAAAAAAGTTTCTAAACAAAATAAACTATCCAAATTAATTTTTTTGTATGTATTTGATAAGATTTTTCTTTAAATTTCGTTAACAGGAATGATAGGGGTGTTTATTTCAACCCCTTCCACTCATTTTAAAAAAGTGAAAAAATTACCAGAAAGTGTGTTTTCATAACAGTAATGCTTCCATAAAATTTTATTAGTCTATCTCTTTTCGTTTTCAAGATAAAAAATAAAAACATTATTTTTCCGCCATCTTTGTACCGCAATATCTCCCTAATGGTTGACTTTTGACCCAACGTTTATGAAGCAAACTACCCTTTATTTTGAACAAGGAATCACCCCCTGAAGTTTTTCACATTTGTTTTGAAACACCCTGTATATTAGTATAGATTACGCACATACAAACGGGATATTTCCAAAAATAATATTTTCTCGAAAATATAAATGATAAACGATGCCCTGCACACTGCATATAATAATATGTGCGCTCTTCATTTCAGCTGCAACAACACCGAGAAATTTCTAATAAGACAAACTTTTGTTTAAACAAATAAATTGTTTATTGAATGATATCGCTTAACTGGTTCGTTTCAATATTGAACTGCGATGATTGTATGGTTCTGCTTTTGTTTGTTCTGATACATGAACTTTTAAGTTTTTGTTATCTATATCGAGGTTTACAGAATTAAAAATATGAAAAACCTTTGAAAATATTTCCTTAAATATATGGGATGATTCAAAAATATAGTATGTTTACAGTTTTACACTGTACTTGTATTTTTTAAATAGAATACTGCATGTACAGTGTGGGTTAAATTGGACGTTTTTAAAGGAAAACATCCTTTTCTATAGGAGAAAGTCGAAAACTATTATCGGTGTGTGGAGCTCAATTTTTATCAAAAACGTGATGGTGAAAACCGCACATCGATATCTGTTACCGTTTCCGAGTTACGGGGTGTTTTTCAAAAATTTGCATTTTTAACATTTATATGGGACACCCTGTATATTTTTAATTCATTGAAAATAATTTAAAATTACCTTTCCAAAATATAGCATACTTCATATTTTGCTCGATTCCTCTTCGAGATATAGAGTTTTTAAAAATTCGCCCACTTTAAATAAGTAGGCTTATTTAAAGTGGGCAAACCGCGCCAGCTGTAATGCAAAAAAATTGTAGTTGTGAGCAGCAATTAAGTTATTGATGTGAACAACATCAACACATTTAAATTATATCTCATAACAATAAAAATTAATAGCAAACCAAGACATGAGATTTCGCTACAGATGTTTGACATGTCGACCGTCTTCTGTTATGGACAGACGGGATCGTTTTTGAACATTTCTCGCGGAATTTATTAACTCAATGGGGGTGAAAGATACCCTCACATAACCGCTAAGTACTTCTAATTCTTGCCTTGATTATACAGGCAATTTAAAAATAACAACGTGTATTCTTTCGCAAAGATAAAAATCCATATATGTAGGCAATAAGTTCGGCGGCCTCGACGGTCAACGGCTGGGATCTTGGTTAGGTAATCAATTATTGTCGAAAATGACTGTAAAAGTTAGCTGATAACTTCAGCGTTCTGAGGTGGTGCCTCGTCTTGCTGGAAAAATATGTTTTCGAGTTCCATTAGGGGCTGATCCTCAATAAGGGGTCCAAAGCCTAGTAGTTAAAAGTGGCAAACTTTTAAAAAATCTGTA